CACACACACACACACACACACACACACACACACACACACTGTAGGCACACCTACGCACGCATACACAAATAAATAAGTAAATAAACATAATAAAAAGGTTTAAAAAAAGAAGAAGAGTGGCAAAGCTTGTCCCTTCCCTGTTGAGGCCCACACCTACCTGGTTTTGCCCCATCCCATGGCAGAGGTACAAAAGGACCTGGTGGCCATCAACTTGGTTTTCATTAGGAGGGTTATAGTCAAGGCAGTACTCTCTGAGTCCTTTGTTCTGGAGCTAAACAAGACACAAAGGTGGAACCTGGGTCTAGATTTCTATACACCAAGAGATTTCACATGAGAGTCAGTGTGGAGGACAGAGGCCCCAGCGACCACCCCAGGGAGATGAGCCCTTTCCCTTTGTCCAGCTCTTTCTCATCATTATAATACTTTCCTGTGTTGACAGCAGGTGAGAACTCAGCCCCACTTTAAGATGACAAACCTGGCCTGAAAGCTTGCATCTCTATTTCTCAGCCACAGCCTTATTTCTGTCCTGGCCCAAACATCTCTGGGTCATGGCTTCATGTCCGTGATAAAGAAACATGGAGGAGAGTGGTGCAACTTACAGATAGTACCATGAGTGAAACATTGCACAGATAGCCACATCTGTCCTAGGATAGTGCTGCATTTACAAACATGTACACTCAGGAGCACAGGCCTGAATGACATGACACCTGCCCCAGTAGACAAAAACACCAAGGGTGGGACAAGGGGCAGGAAGCAGGAAGAACAGCCTTGACTATTCTAGAATATCAGGGACAAGACTCATAATTTCTGTGTTTTGGTACATTTGAACATTTTCACATTGAAAACATAATTGAGCACTAAATCCTGGCTGTGTAGTTATCCAAAATCCAACACCAGCACTTCAGATAAGCAATGGTGGAAAAGCCCACATGAGATAGTCTTGATCCTAGCATAAGCAAGACTCTTGTCTTAGTTGGCCTTATTCCATAAATGTTTATTTGAGGTTTTCATAAGTCTTCTGCTTCCACCATTGCTTTTGTGGGTCAGGGCCATTAAGACTAAAAGTAATCTAAAAATGCTAGTAAAAATTAAGACTCACTTCCCATCCCCAGAAGAGTAATTAATTAACTGGAAAGATGCTCAATGGACACAAGTAATTCCACATATGTTTAACAACCTCAAGTTTGATCCTCCATATGTACCATGACACCCCACACCCCACTTATTAAACAAAAACAACCAAGAGTAGCTCATCCTTGCCAATTTCCAGGGGCCTTCCAGTCCTGACATTCTGTACCCAGGATCAGATGTTCAAGGGGAAAGGAAAAGACACTCCACCATCACATGGCAGTGGTGGGATGGGGGAGGTCTGTGGTCCCCACGAATGGGGATTTTCTTCCCCCAGAATCATTGTTTAGATCCAAGACGCGGCAGCACCCAATCTTCCATGACCCACTGCTTACCATCCCGAAGAAGCCAGGCCTGTCCTCTGGCACATGAAGTTCTGGGTACACTGTCTTCAGGAACCACCGGAAGTCTTTACATTGGAGCTTGTCCCGAAGCTTCTTCCTCTCCGTCACGTCCCCAAAGGGTTCCTGAGAAAACAAAATAGTTGAGTCCTACAGGTCCTGGAGCCATCCTCAGTGAAATCACTAGCTAGTGTATGTATCCATGGGCTTTTACTGAGCTGGGTACCAGACAGAGAATGTTCAAGCAGCCATAGTGCTTGGCTTGTGAGAAGAAAACCGAATACCACAAATTGAACTCCGACCTCCATATGCATGCTACGGCATGCTCATACACACTCAGGTAGAACAAATTATATGGAGTTTACTTTTAAAAGAAAGAGCCAGGGGATAGAAATGTGCAGTAACTCAGATACTTATTGCCCTTCTGGAGGATCACACGTCAGTCTTCAACAGGGCAACACATTAGATTAGGGACAGTCACAACACAGGCAACAAGCAGAAGAGACTGTCACACTGGCAGAGCTATGGGGAGTCTAGGTAGGAGAATGTGATTAGGAGACAAGGCACGGGCAGACAGAACCTGGGAGCCAAACGTGAAGCCTACATCAGCCTCCTGGACCATGATGGACTGTGTGGTCACAGGACATTCTGCTGCCCAGCCAGAGGAATGCCATGACTTAGGCTGTGCCCTTCTTACTATTGATATCTGGATATTCACTCAAAAACAGGCAGTGGGTCCTAAATAGTATCATGAGTGATCGGCATGATCAATACAGTAAAGTACAAGTGTGTGCTGAACACTTATTAGCATGAGATCAATGCCAGGATAAGCAAACTTCTGCAAGCAAACCCCTGTAACTGTATGAAGCCTGCCACCATGAGGTACAACTAACTGTTCAACCAAGAACAACAGTGAGGACTAAGATATGGATGTCCTTGCTCTATTGTGTTCTCCTGCTGAAGACTGACAAGTGACACCAAGAAAGGGCAGTTAGTGTCTGGGTGTCACACTTCCAATTTATATTCCCCAGTTCTTTTTAAAATAACATTTAATTTATTTTTGTGTGCGTGTGTATGCACATGCCATGGTGCACACACGGAGATCAGAGGACAATTTGTGATAGTCAGTTCTCTCCTTCTACCATGTGGATCCCAGGGATTGGACTCAGGTCTTCTGACTTGGTGGAAAGCCCTTTTATCCACTGAGCTGTCTCACTGACCACCCCAGAAGAATCGCTGTGCCCCAGCTTTGACCAAAGCCCATCTGCAAACATAGCCTAAGAGCCACCGAGCCCACAGGTGCCTTCAACACCACTCTCTCATGTTCTGTACACTTTAAAAACAGCAACCTAGCTTTCCGGGCTGGCTGTCAGTGAGGAGCAGGTGTTTTAGTCTGTTGCACTAGGCAAGACAGAGGAAGCTAAGGCAAATGACCATGGAGTCCCTGAGGCACAGGGGCATGCAGGAGATTGAGCTGTTGGCTCCTGGGTTCAGCAGAGCTAAGAGAGGCACTCTGGAGCATGCAGGCCCCAGGCCTGCTGCCACCTCCTATAAGCTAGCAGGTCTTGGGAAGTGTTCAGTTTCTCAGTCTCCCTCTCTGTTCCTCCTCCTCTTCCCCACCTCCTGCACTGCAGATCTATCATTAATCAAATGAGGATTCGGTAGCTACCCCGCAGGGCTGCTGGGAGGCATCAGGAGAAATTTCCTTCAAGGGCCAGAACAAATGTCTTGGAAAAGACTTCCTTGTGTCACCAAGTGACCCTCTGGTGTGCAAAGCTAGCATCTGATTTATAGAGCCCAAAGCCTTGTGGGTAGATCCATAGGTCCCTCGGGCAAGGGCTGAATGAGGCTCTGAGGCATAAGCAGCCCTAAGCTATGTGCCTAAGGAGAGATGCTGGCTCACTCTCCCAGGGCCTCAGTCAGTACAAGGTATATGGGCTCAGCTCAGCTCATTGTGTGGCTGGAGCCCATGGGGGCAGCGATGTAAGCTGTGGAAGAATAAGCCCATGGGCTCAACCAAGATGATTACAAAGAGGAAAGCCATGACACCTGTACCACAGTCAACAGATGACACCACACAACCCAGACCGGCTGATTCTGTACTTGGAAATTCACCTCTATACTGAGGTTGGTTTGTGACCCTACATCAATACTCGTGGTGCTTTCGCAGTCACAGACACTCATACACAATTCCTTCAAGTTATTCAACACAAATGCTCCCAGGAAGGTCTAACAAGGCCATGCCATACCTTCCTGTTTTGCACTCACACAGTAAATATGTGTCTTTTCCATGATCTACTGGGACCTTGCTTGTCACCATGTGTTATTGACTTGACAAGACAGCAAAACTGAACCCCCAATCAGTGCTTCTTGCATTCCTAAACCTAAGAAAGTGATGTGGAGCCAACAATATGGTTTAGTTGTTAAGGGCACTTGCCACCAAGCCTGACAGCAGGAGTTCGATTCCTGGAACCCACATGGTAGTAGGAGAGAAGCAACTCTCCAAAGTTGTCCTCTGATTTCAACACATGTGCCATGGCAAGCATGCACCTAAGCATAAACATACACAATAACACACATGTACACATGAACATGGGGACACACATATATACACATATACACATGCATGCACACATACACGTCAATAAAGAAAGGTAAAGGAAAAACAGAAAGTTGTGAAAATGTTTGTTAGGTAAGAGCTGTTTAGACACAGGTTACAGTGCCCTAGGTCACGAGGTCAGTGTTGATGGACCAACAATGTATATTAAATAAAGTGCCCTGAAACAGAAATACATATAACAATAGTCCCAATTGGCTGGAAAACTGTTGTGTCTGAGTCTCACGGGAATCTAATCCTGCTAGGAGCAATGGCATGGAAATCACTAATTCTGTATTTGCAGTGGCTTTATAAGCATGGCTCTGCGGTCAGTGAGAATCAACTGTATTAGCATAAGTGAAGAAGAGGTTTTCCCATGCTGTATCAGAAAGGCCCACTTGGCCCCTGTTCTTAGAACCAGATCTACTTTGCCGGGGAAGCCAGACTGTGGCGCTTGGTTCCCAGGAGGCTGTAGGTGGGCAGACTCACCAGGCGGGCCCGGGGATTGCGGTGGTAGTAGAGTTCTTTAAATTCATCCATCCACACTTCGGCAGCTCGAACACTATTGGCCAGGGCTTTGCTGCGTGAATAGGGAGCTTGCTTAGGGAAAACATGGCCTACGTGGGAGCAGGGGTGTGTTTCCAGAGTGCCACCACACTGCCAGATCTGCAATGGAGGTGGAGAGGAGAGGCCACATGGTGAGCAAGGAGTCCACGGAGTCCAGCAGGAGGTGGCACCTGCCAGGAGCTCAGCCTCCACAGGGACAGAGACCACTTACCAGCTTGCACTTGACACCAAGGGAAAGAGCAAGAAAGCAGCCCCAAGTCAGACAATCCACAGATGCTAAGAACCCCAAAGCCCAGGCAATAAAGCTCATGCACTTGACCGAGGAGGGCCAGAGAGACCTCGCCGGCAACCTACATCCTCAACGAGTCAGACATGTCTTCATTACCTGATGCCACAGAAGAGAAGAAAGCAGCAAGGAAGGAGAGAGGTTGGAAAGGCAGAGAGGAAGCATCTAGAAGAGGCAGAGTATCCTGACACCTAGGGAAGAGGCAGAAAAGCTGTTAGAATTACACCCAGAGTTCCACAGGCACGGTCATTTGGGGCATCTGGTGTTTATAACGTAGGGTTTCAGTGCCGGGAGAGGGAGGAGGCCACATTCTTCTCCGTTAACTGTCTTCAAGAGGGTAGAACAACAGACAAAACACTGCTAAAAGTCTAAGTTTCGATTCTTAAACATGTAAGATTCTGCTGACAAGGAGATCACAGAGACACTATGGCTTTGTGGAAGGGCTCCAGAGCCTGCTGCAGAAGGCCGCTTCCTGACCTCACACTAAATCTATCGCTTCTGACTTTCTATGGGAACCTGGGACCTGTCTTTTTTAAGACAGTTCCCTGAAGTTACCAGATGTGCAGAGGCTGCCCCCTAAACATCTAGCCAGACAGCAGCTCCAGGTGGGTGCAGGACTCTGGCTCTGGTATTTTAGTTCAAGCTCTACCGATGACTCTGAGTGACCACGCACAGGACACAGCCCCACTCCCAGCCTCAGTTTCCCCCATCTTCAGAGTGAGAAACTAAGAGATTTGTGATGTCCTTTCCAGACCAAGTCTCAAGTAAGTGTAAAGTACACTTGTAAACTAGCTAAATAAAAAGTCAAGCATGCCAATAAGATATGCATGTCACTGTCTTACAGAATAATGGGATACACCAATATTGAGGAGGGAGGGAGGAAGGGAGGCACGGGGAGGGGGGAATATGGCTCCAAACAGAAAACAGGACTACTTACCCTAAAGGAGAATTCGAGGTTTTCTCCTCCCCAGACTTCCATTCCTGTATCATAAGACCCCAGGTATTCAAAATATCTCTTACTCACAGCAAATAGCCCCCCAGCCATTGTTGGAGACCTAGAAAAAAGTGGTACCCATATTTCAATGGAAGAGGCACGAGGCCCTCCTGAATGGCCACACCCCCTCCCCACCTGGAGTCTACGTTCCTGGAAGCTGAGCCCTTTCACGCATTCATCCATCCATAAGCACAATGAACTCACACTCTATGCCCTGCGCCAGGCTAAGCCTGGAGGCACAGCCACACCTCACAGCCCCTGTGTTGATGTTTGTAGACGGCTCAACAGGCCAAGTCCCCTGCGTGTGACGCACTTCAATGAAGGCCACCCAGAGCTCTGTAAGGCAGGGGCAAGGGCATGGAGGGTAGAACCAAGTCTCCTGGGGGAGGGAAGGTCTGTGGGAAGAAGTAAGCTGAAGAAGAGGAAGGAGATAGGACCCCACCCCCTGACATGAATAATGGTGGGCTATGGGATGGGGTGGAGGGGGAACCCCTGTGCTTTTAGGATATTAGAGGACAGAGGCTTGGGGACTAGCACTTCCCCGGCACCACCAGGGGAAAATGAAAATATTAGCTTATGCATATGTTCCCTATTAGAATTTTCAATCAATTAGCTGAAACACGCCAATATAAAATCTACTTGTATAGCAAAGATATTTAATAAGAGAAATGCTCTGGGGAAACAATAGGTAGGAAATGGAAGTCGACAGTCTGCCATCCCTCCCTTAGGATGTGCTCTGAGATAGTGGCCAGGAAGGCAGACCCAACCTGATGACATCGATAGGGGACCGCATCAACTCCCGCTCTCGCTGGGGAACCACGTGCCACGTGAATACCAGCCGCCAGTCAAAACCTCCAATCTGGGGCTCCCCAGAGTTGCCCAGGTACTCGAAGGTGTTCCAGTCAATGACATCGATCACCGGGCACACCACTGCCGACTCCTTCTCATGGATCCTGCAAATACCCAACACACCTGTCATCTGTCTGTCTCTGCTCCAGACGGCAGGAGGACAGCCAGAAAGAAGCTCCAGAATGAACCATGGGACTCTTCTGGCAGAAAAGAACCAGTCCAGGGTAAGCAGACCAGCCTCCCTTACTCAGGGGTCTGGGCCATGTTGGGGGCCCCCACTGGGCATGCTGAGAAGGCAGAGAGGAACTGGAATAGTTCCCCTCTCCTCCTGTCCATGGACATCCTGGCTAAACTTCCAGAGTGCCAATGTGTGTAAAAATCAAAGGTGACTTTTAAAACAAAGCATGTGTTCAATTTCTTGGGTGTGCAAGAGGTTCCATTACAATGAAACACCTTAACAGCAAGAATTATTTATCTCTGGCCAGCAAGATGGCTCCCCAGTGGGTAAAGGAGCCTGCTGCCAAGCCTGATGGCCCGAACTCAATCCCTGGGACCCACATGGTGGAAGGAGAGACTGACTCCTCCTATGCACTCTCTCTCTCAATACAATATAATTGTTTTTTAATAAAAATATTTATCCTAAGGACAGAAGATATACCAGGCATGATAGTGCATGCCTTTAGTCCCAGCACTCTGGAGACAGAGGAGGATCTCTGAGAGCTTGAAACGAGCCTGGTCTACATAGTAAATTCCAGAACAGTCAGGGCTACATTCAAGAACCATGTCTCAAAAAAAAAAAAAAAAAAAAAAAAAAAAAAAGGAGGAGGATAAGGGGGGAGGTGAAGGAGGAGGAGGAAGAAGGGGAAGGAGGTGGCCTGAGATCAACAGGTCAGGGTTACATATGGACTCTCAATGTTCCTTATTTGCTGTGTTGCCTCAGCCAAGTCACCTGATGCTTCATAATCTATTGCCTCTATGGTAACAAGATAGAGATGTGTCCTCATAGGGCTAAAATGAGGATTCCGAGGGCTGGTTTGCAAGCTCCCTGGCAGAGAACCCAGAACTACTGCTTTTCTTGTTACAGTGAAATATGCAGTGAAAAAAAAGAAATATTGTAATTTCCGTCTGTACGATCAGCCTGGATGTATCCCAAACCCAATTGTCCATCATCATGCTCCTCAATGATGTCATCACTATGACACCACATGGGGGGAGGAGCTGAAAGGGGACCCCGCCTGAGGACTCGTTTATTTGGGGTATGTGGGGGGCATGGCTATCTCAAATAAGCATCAGGGCATGGAGAACAATGAAACGGAGGAGCAGATTGGAGTCATCCATGTTCTAGACTAATGGAAGAAAGTCAGAGACCGAAGGTGCCACACTGAGGTGAGACTTGAAAGGTCAGGCCAGGTCAGACACAGGATTAAACAGGAGCTCACCAAAATGACAAGTCTGCAGCTGAGGCATCACCTCTTCAAACAAACCGAGGGATTGTTAGCAGACAGAGGACAGACCTGCTTGGCTGCTGGGCACTGACAAGGCTCAAGTCCCCCAGGAACTCATGACTTGCTATCCAGCTGGCAGGAACCACAGACAGCCCAACTTCACACAAAGGGAAACTTGGGGGAGTGTTATGCAGGATTCTGTCTCGGAAGGGAAGATGCATTCATGGAGAAGTTTCCAGAATCGGGAGCTGAACCCTCAATTTTCACAACATGGATTACTCAGCATCCTTAGCCTGCAGTGTGCCAAGAGCAATACCTGCCATGAAAACCCAGACAGCTCTATTTTCATAGCCCCCCCCCAGAGGGAGGGGCCATGATATAGTTGAGACTGCTCAGGCACAGTCTACAGGCCTATTATGCAAAAGTCCTGTTTTGAAAACATCCAGAAGCCTAGGAAAACCCCACGAGTCAGATGTCCCCCAGAAATCCCTCAATGGACCTGCAGGGTGGACAGCTCCTCAAAGATAGTGGCCTGGCACCAGGGAGGGACTGCCCTGATAGTCTAAGATCTATCAGCTCATCAGCTCAGGAGGAAGGGTGGCATCCTCAGATTTCACACTAGCCCAAGGGTAGCCATCAATGTGGACAGCAGGGGAGGGGAACACGGAGGTCACTAGCCAGATTCCAGATAGCCTCGGGAAACTCTAAGCCTGTCACTGGTGACACTCCTCAGTGGCAAGAGAGAAAAGCAGCTACTGTCACACCCGCAGAAGACAAGGAGCCAGACAGCAGGAAGCAGCAGAGTAGAAGCAGCTTGGTCTCACCCAGGAAGAGAGGGGGAAGGTCCCCAGCCCTTCCAGACAGACACTGGCCATATAGCTGTTTTCCCAGTAGCAGGGTTGTCTGGCCTTTGACTTTTTGTCTGCCTGCACAGGGGAATCCAGACAGAGCTTCCTCTGGGGGAACTCCTGGCTTGCTAGACAACTCCTGCCTTCTATAGTAGACAGTTGGGAGGACATGGAGAGAACAGAGATTGGGAGAGAGAGATACAGAGAACCACAGCCAGATCCACAGTGTAGACGGCTAGGTTAACAGGCTTGGGGTGACAGGAATGACTGGCCTTGAAGAGGTAGGGTGTGTGTGTGTGTGTGTGTGTGTGTGTGTGTGTGTGTGTGTGTGTGTTACTAAGAAGTACACTTTACAACTAAATTAGCATAAAGATGACAAATACAGGCTGGGATCATTATACTCATATATACTTGGATTTTTAGTTCTAATTTTTAAAGAAATAAATGTTTTGTTTTGTTTTTAAATTGTGGGCTCTAAGGATATGCCTTGAATACATAAGGCAAGCCCTTGGTTCAGTCTCTAGCACAAATATACATACATACATACATACACACACACACACACACACACACACACACACACACACACTTACTTACTTTTAGGGTCTCTGAGTTTCAAGGACTTAATGGATACTAAGTAACAGCAATATCCAAGGCTAAATGAGCCGTGCTTGAAACAAATACATCAAAATGCATATCCCCATGAGGTTCTAGCCCAAAATCTGTAAGGCTGGGTTGATGATACTCCCCAGGTATACTATAAGAAGCTGGCTACCACTGCAGCTCCCCACAAGCACCTTCCACACGTCATTTACCATTGTGCCACCACAGAGGTCAAGGGTGTCTGATGCAGGCACTGACATCCCTCCAGCAGCCAAGATGAAGCTGTCCCTACTTCCACCCAAGCACCCTCCCCCATGAGTGGCCACACACCTCTGCAGCAAAGGCTCCAGCCACCCCTCATGGCATTCACAGTGACAGTCCAGGAAGGTCAGCACTTCCCCCTTGGCCACAGAGGCTCCCAGTAGCCGGGCTCGCACTAGGCCTTCTCTCTTGCTGGCACGGATCAGGCGCACCCTGGGCAGCTGTGACAGTTCATTAGCCAAGCGTTCCTTCAGATGCTCTATGGATGCAAACAGAACAGTAGACACTGATCAACATCCTTGGTGGAGCACTCATCCCAGCCCCCACCATCTAGCATTTCCTTGATCCCTTTAAATGACATACACAGAAGCCTCCTTTTCTTTGTCACCCAGGATACCCAGAACCAAGGGCAGGCTGGAGGAGATCAGTCTGCAGACACACTCAGTCATATGCTTTTATATGGGGGAGTGTTATGGTACCTGAAAATGACTCGGTAAAATCAATGCTAAGAGTACTTCATAGGGGACTGGAGAGAGGGCTCAGTGGTTTAAAATACTTGCTGCCATTCCAGAGGACGAGAGTTGGGTTTCCAGCTCATAATGGTCTATGACTCCAATTCTAGAGGATCCAGCATCCCCTTCTGGCCTATAAAGGCACTGCACACACACGATACACACACATACACTCAGGCACAGGCATGGGTGCCCACGTGTGTGCACCCCCCCACACACACACCTATTTATTAATGTTATGTGAATTGGTGTTTTGCCTACATGTATATTCACGCACCATTTGCATGTCTTGTGCCTGAAGCGGCCAGAAGAGGGTATCAGATCCCCTGGAACTATATGTAGTTGTAGACCATTGTGAGCCATCATTAGGTACTAGAAACCAAACCCAGGTCCTCTGGTAGAAGAGTGAGTGACTGCTCTTAACCACTGGGCCCTCTCTCTAGCCCAGCCCTTCAAAGGTTGACTTGTGCACATTTAAACATAAACTGAATATTGAATATGGTCCCTTGCTTCTGTGGGTACACTGTGATTAAAGCTTCACTATCAGGATAGTGCTGTTGGGAGATGGTGGAACCTTTGAAGGTGGGGGCTATGTGGAGGCCCTGAGGTTGCTGTAACAGTGCACTCCTAGGGAGACACAGGACTCCTGTCTCTCCCTCTGTTCCTGCTCCAAGTACAATCGATAGCTCTCACACAACTTCCCACCAATGCCTTTCCCTATAACACGCTGAAGTTGAGAACTGGCTGATCATGTACCACCAGGGCCTTGAACTCCAAAAGCTATAAGCAACAGAAACCTCTTCTTCCCCCTAATGTCCTGCATCAGGTGCTTTGTTATACAGACAGAAAGCTGACTAAGACATCATCTTTATTAAAACAAAAGTCTATTAGTAGACCTTTTCTTTATATAGAAGCAGCACTCTATAGAAGCAATAGTTTATCAGGGGCCATGCACATCCCAGGCTGCAGAAGAAGTATATATGGAAATGACAGGCCCACAACTAGCCCCCAGGTCTCCCAATTCTGGGACAAGGAGTCACACCCTCCGAGAGTCTGGTGGAGGGAGGTGGGAGCCCACTTAGGCCAAAGAACAGGAAAAAAGAGCATTTCCCTCACCTATCAGAGAATGCTCTAAGTTGTTTCCTAATTCATTAAAACTTTTCTCTAAAATGCCTTAACACTTAGAAACATGTCTTGGTTGATTTTCTTTTTAAGCTCTGAATGTCTGCCTGTGAGCTGGTGGCAGAAATGAGGAAGGTAACTTTGCAAGCTACACCAGTTAACCACAATGTGGTGTGTGCACACAGAGACATGGTGTAGCCTTCCTAGGCTCAGGTGGGTTTTCCAGAACTGACTTTGGATGGGCTTGTGCTGTCCTCCTGGGCTAAGGAGCCAAACCCCTCAACCCCCAATCACTTCAGATAAGCAAAGAGGAATCAAGCATGGCTGCCAAAGGTATCCCAATCCTATGGCTCCTCCCCCGCTCTCTAAGTAGTCACAATAAGATGGGGGGGGGGGCTGGCCCACCCTCTCCACTGTGAAGGAGGGCACAATGTCCTGTACTTCTGCCTACTCAGTAGCTGCCTAATTTCATACAGATAATAAAAGCAATCTGATATTTGGTTTTTAGTCCATATGTTGATTAACTGGAGTTAGTGTGGCAGACAGGAACTAAGTTTACAATTGTGACAACATTTCATACAAACAGAAGTTAGCATTTAACAAGGCTTGAGTACTGGCCAGGCACTAACATAACACACACCCCTACCCTCATCTCATTTAATCCTCACAGTGATCCTATAATGTAGGAATTATTACGACTCCGTTTATAGAGGATGAACTGGCTAAGGCCAGAGTTCAAAGCCGTAGGGTCCCTGGGGGTAGGGGTGGGGATCCGAGCCCACTCAGTATGACATGGGAGCAGGATGTACATGACTACATTTATTTTTCACTGTTAACTCCCCAACAGGACAGAGGTGTGGAGAAATCTATTCACAGGACAGAGGCGTGGAGCAATCCACACACAGGCAAGAAACTGAGGCCCAGAGGAAATGAGTGACTTCACCAAGGTACCATGATGGTGTGACCAGATCATGACAGAGCTTGCCTCAGACCCAGGGACCCTGATCCTGGAGTTCAGTGGCCCTGGGCTCCCCTCAGCACCAAACTCCAGCCTGACTTGCAAGGACACTGTTGCTTGTTCCCTGTCTCCTCCCTACCTGGAGATTGTAGCTGAGCTCATAGCCACCAGGATAAACTGTAATTCCTAATCCCCTTGCTGCTAGGTGTAGCTGTGCCACCATGTTCTGCCTGAAGGATGGAGGTAGGGAACTTCCAGAAAAAAAAAGGGGGGGTTTATTCCTTGCCCCCTTTTAACTTTTCTGGCAGACTAGAATGAGCAAGAGGGGAGGAGCCAGCCTGGGCCAGGCAGACTGGAGCTGCAGAACCCTCCCAAGGTGAAGGCATGTGTTAGAAGGAGACAAGTCCAGATACCATCTTGACCTATCAAACCAAACTTCTGGCATAAGAGAGAGCTCGATTTCTACTCTGGATAAATCTTTATACTTCACATGTTTATGAGAATAGCCCAACACACATGTAGGTCAGAGCACACTCCCTGTTGTGCAGTCAGATGGCCCAGAGTACAGCCCATAGGCAGCAGCTGCTGAGTTCATGATGGCCCAGGATGATAATGTAGTTTGAAACTACCTCTAGTTTAAGGATGCTCACAGTTATCTATCTGTTGCTGAAGTCTTGACATTTCCCCTCAGTTAAGCCCAGCAGTCCCTACTTTAACCAGTTACCCAAGACCCACTGGCTAAGACACTCCACGGATATACTAGTCCCTGCTAAGCCAAGGCTGTCCTGTGTTTGGGGAAGTGATGCTCCTTCCCTTCCTCACTTCCATTCTTGCCCAGCCCTGCTCCTACCATTGGCCATTTCTCACACTGAACTCTCACTTAGTCTGACTATACCTACCTGTTCCTCTAAAGCTCTCTGAGAGGCCCCTACCAAGTTCTTGAAATCCCAACACCTTACGGTGACCTCCAAGGCACTCCCTGACTTAGCCAAACTCCCATTCAGCCTCCTCTCTCCACAATAGCTGACCCGACAGCATGTCCCAAATTATTACTGGGCATACTCGAGCCCCTCATTCCTCACCCTCTCACCCTAGCCTCCACACAGGGCTTACCTCTGTCGCTGTAGTCATCTACGAGAATAACCTCCTCCAGCAGGATGTCAGGGGAGGTCTCAAGGACACTGTAAACTGTTCGAAGGAGCGTTGACCAGGCTTCATTATAAAAGGCTATGACGACAGAAGTCCTGGGCAAATTCTCATAATCGTATTTCTCCTCTCTGCACCTGTAAATGGAATGTAACTTGAACAACAGAGAAGCCAGAAGCAGTTAGCACTGGGGATGGAGTAAGGATGGGGACATGGGTCACAGTCTTTAGGGTTCTCCTGGGAAATGATCTACTAGAGGATCTCTCACAGAGAGCCCCGGAAGACACTTAAAATAAAGTTGTAACCAGAACAGCATCTGCTGTGTGACATTGGTTTTAAACTGAAAAGCAATGTGAAGATTTGAGCAACACACAGACTAGAAAATCCAAAGGGTTCAGCCTATAGCTGCCATGTCTGTCCATCCTATTCTAATCCAGGCTTTGCTCAGGCTGCTTCCTCCCCTTGGCTGTACCTGCTTCTTCCTTCTTTCTTTACTTGGCAAACTTCCTGTGTCCCCCAAGAGCAACTCAGCCCCCGATCCCTTCTAGGAAGGAAAATGTCTGTCCTGGAGAGTTGGTGGCCTCACAGTGTTCCTCCAGTACCTGATCTCCTCAATTTCAGCAGGTGCTGCTAACAGAGTTCCTGTCACCAAGGACTGTGCCAGTCTTCCCCAGCTTCCAGAAGTCACTATGCCTCAGAAAGATGGGAAGCTGAACAAATAAACTAGATGTGTGGCTAGAACATTGGGTGACAGCCTCTGGGAGTGGAACTGAGACTGTCCAGTCCTGGGGGTGGGGCATGATTAATTCTCATGGAATCAATGATCTCTCTGTTCAAGAGTTTGCTGTCACTTTGTACTGACAGCTTCCTGGTCAATACAGCATTCTATCCTCAGAGTGACAAAACAATCTCAGTGCCATGGGACTGACCATGGGGCAGTGCCTGGAAATTATCTACAGGAAGTGCCAGATAGCAAGATGGAAGGATGCCAGAACCCACCAGAGTTTAGACTCTGGGGTCAGCCACTAGCTACACAAGGAGAAGCTAAGCGTTGAAAGTAGCTAGGCTACCAGTTTCCTGGCAGCAGAGGGAAGGCCTCAGAAGACAGGTGAGTAACAGATTGGAGAGACACAGAGCCACACAGAAAGAGGAGCAGAACTCACAACTGCCGACTGTCTAGCACTGCTCCTGTGTCCTCCTCAGTCAGCCACCAAGTTATTTCCTTATTGCCTGCCAAGTGCCAAACAGGCAAGGGCTGTGATCCATGGAGCTTACGTTCATGGGGCAGTAATCAGGCAAGCAAATCAATAGTCACAAAAATAGCCCATACTGTAGATACAGTCAAGGAGGGTGGTGAGAGAACAACTATGGGAGGGGGGAGGGAGAACTAGTGAGGTAGAGGGCCCTCTGTGGAGGTGACATTTATGATGACACTTAGGGTTGGAGATGTAGCTCACAGTGCTTGTCTAGCAGGCACAAATCCCGGGTTTGACCTGAATACAACGTAAATCAGGACTAGTGAAACATGCCTATCATCTTGGGATGTAAAGACAGGAGAATCAGACATTCAAATCATCTTCATCCATATGGTGAATTTAAGGCCAGCCTGGGTTATATAAGACCCTGAGTCAAAACAAACAAAAATGAAAAACAAAAACTAGAAATCCAGACCCTTCGAAGCCAAGTAGGGACACTTTGCATGTGGAACTTAACTTATTTCTGGCATTGTTTCCATTTTACTTTGAAAGTTTTTAAATATATAAGGCAGAGAGAGAATCAGAAGCTTACAGTGACTGCCCAGCACCAAAAGTTGTCCACAAACAGCCGATCTCAATCTATGTGCCATTGTCATCTCCCACTGTCCCATCTTGGAGAGAGAGAGAGAGAGAGAGAGAGAGAGAGAGAGTGTGTGTGTGGTCTTTTGAGACAGGATTTCTCTATGCAACAGTCCTGTCTGTCCTGGAACTCACTTTGTAGACCAGGCTAGCCTTGAACTCATTGAGATCCACCTGTTCTCTGCCTCCCAAGTGCTGGAATCAAAGGCGTGCACCACCACCACCCAGCCTCGGGTTCGTTTTAGAGAAAACCGTGCCTATCATAGCATCCATATTATTTTTAAATGTACAAGATAAAGATTTATTTCTTAGTATATAACAAACATATGTTTGTTTTTGTCAAACCTTAAAAATGGAATGACTCCTTGGGGCTATCCTAGCTCTAGTCTGTAGTAGTTCATCAAAGCTAAGCAGATTGGAGACAGAGTTTCATGAACCAGAAAGGCAAATGTTACCAACTGAACTTTACAGAACATATTCATTTTAGAGATGTCAAAATTGGACTGGAGGGGTGGGAGGACTTGAGCCCCTCGTCGATAAAAAAAGCAGTATTTGATCACTACTTTGAAACCGCTTCCTGGGCTGGAGAGAGAGAGTTCTGTGGTTAAAGGTGGTCATTGCTCTTGCAGATGGCTCAAATTCGATTCCCAGCACCCACAACTCCCTATAGTTCCAGCTCCAGGGGATCTAACACCTCTGGGCCTACCAGTACATATGTACACATACATACAATTAAAAATAAAACATGTAACCCATGTCAGCCTCACTGCTCTTTCTTAAAAGATAAAGCTCAGAGAGCTCGAATGGCATGCTTAGCTCACAGAGCACAGGGCTCTGAGTACACTGGGCTAGGATGTTTGTGTCCAGTGATCTTCTTGGGAGGTCCTGGCTCATTCTTTGCATCCAATGGGAGGCTTAGGAGACCACCTAAATACAGAATATAAATGAAGATGCCTGGACCACTTATCACTATACAGTGCTCCTTCCTACCAAACTCTGTGCAAGTCTCCCTTCTCCTTCCCAGGTTCTTCTAGTAGACTCCAAGTCCCCAGTAGAAATGTCATGGGGCTCCATGGTCACTGCAATGGCTTCTCCAGAACCACAAATGGCCTATCAAGAGACATTGTGGGAGGGGGCTGCTCTTCTCAGCCACATCCACATTCTCACCCCTACTGAATCCAGAGGCCCTACTCAGACACTCCAGGCATGGACACCCTGCCAGTACCTGGGCTGACGGCATGGACACCCTGCCAGCACCCGGGCTGACGGCATGGACACTCTGCCAGTACCTGGGCTGACGGCATGGACACCCTGCCAGCTCCTGGGCTGACGGCATGGACACCCTGCCAGCACCTGAGCTGACGGCAAGGACACTCTGTGCACGCAGATATGTATGCATGTATATGAAGAACAGAGGATAACGTTGGACATCTTCCACCCTATTTTTTGAGATGGTCTCTCACTGAACCTGTAGCTTGTGAAATCAACTAGACTGGCCAGCTAGCAAGCCCTCTGTTTCTACTTGTCTCTGCCTCCTATCCAGCCTCAGCAAGAATTACAGGCTGTTATAGAACTCTTTCCCCAGGGCAATGCAAAAATTATACCTACCCCTTTCTTATTGGGCACTAAGAACAGATCAAAGTTTGATTTTATCAAAGCCCAACTCACCCTCTGAAACTGTAAGCAAGACCTAAGATAAATGTTTTCCTTTCTAAGTTGTCTTGGCCATGGTGTCTCTTCACAGCACTAGAACAGTAACTGAGACACATAAGAGCACCCAGCTTTTATGTGGGGACTCAAACTCAGATCCTCATCTTGTGTAGCAAGCACTTTACTGACTGAGCCATCTTCTCACCCGCCCCCCTTTAACTGACATACTGCTGTTCAATGATAAACCTAAAACATTCAGGTCCAGGATGTATGTTAGTAAAAGGGCAGGAAGATGGATCCCAAATTGGAGAGGCTCCATGGATCTGAAGTGATGACTAAAGAAAAGACCACAATCAGGTCCAACAAAGATTGAGAAAATATCCTATGCTTTACAATCCTTTTTGGAAAGCACAAGAAACCAGTCTAATGTCCACTTGATATGGGATGCTTTGCAAAGGTGATTTTGCAGAGCAACTGGGTATCTCTCTGGAGAGAGAGAAAGAGAGAGAGAGAGAGAGAGAGAGAGAGAGAGAGAGAGAGAGAGAGAAATCCCACCAGCTTCCTCTTGCTCACTGCAGCAGGGCACTTGTGGTCCTTCAGATAATGTGACTACTCTGAGATTCTTTGACATGCCAAGTCCTGATTCCTGTACTCAGACACACATGTAGCTACAGCAGTCAAGGTCAAAAAATTGTGCTCTTCTACCAGCAGTACCCAGCTGAGACCATAAATAGGTCTGGGGACACCACAAGACCATCATCACTCCACTTCCTCTCCTGATAACTAGGTCAGAATGTGAGTGACAATGCCATTACAGCAGTCATCTGATCTTATGAGTGTACTCAATGAACACTATTTTTTTTAGCGTAATATCAGCTTGTGACATACATCCTTGCTAGTTTCAACTGTACTTATTATTAACCACTATTTATGCTAACTTCCATCTTACCATAACTCCTGAGCCAGCAATCCATGGTGACTAGGTCAGCAGCTTTCAGCCAGGTCAGCCTGGGACCTAGCCACAGAAATTCTGATTTCATTGTTCTGGGGAAGGTCCTAGCACTGGCAGTTTCTAAGAGCTCCCTAAGGCTGCCGAGCCAGCTATATGGCTCCCCTCTTTGGCCTGCCATCTAGGAGTGAAAAATCCTCCCTCCTCATTAGCGTCAAATGAGAGGCAATGGTGAGGGGACTGAGGGCCCTGCATTTACTACACTGCTATCTATTGTACCTTTTTTCCTCCTCCTCCTTCTCCCCTCCCCCAAGTCAGCACTGAACTAACAAACCAAAGCTGTGCATGCAACTGTCAGATCCTTTACCACATCTCAAGGAGCAAAGCCGGCTTCGAAAGTCTCTTTACCAATCTGGCCTTGTCCAGACCTTGCTCTCGCCAGTAAGAGCCGAAGCAGATGTCCCCAGGTTGACCCATGCTTTGTCTGTTGTAGCATGTATATGCAAGGCAATGCAAAGACAGCAAAATCCTGTGAACTTATGTGCACACTATGTTCTCACCCACACATTTCTGTGTCTATTTTCCAAAGTCTGTTCTATACTTGGAAAAGGTCTAGACAGATACACAGCAAAATGTTAATAACAGTTTTCCCGGGTTTGTAAGCTGATTTTTTTTTTATCTTTTTGAGAGTCTTGCTGTGTAGCCCTGGCTGGGCTGGTACCAGATATGCACCACTCTGCCTGGCTGAAAGCTCTATTGTTGACTTTTTTCATTTGTTTGGGGATTTTGCTTCTCCTATGGCAAACTTTTTGAAGCAGAAGTTTTTATAATAAAAACAAACAGGTAAATGTTTCCCACCCAAAAAAAGGAAAACTCCAGAGCTTGTGAATGCCCTGGGCTTCTCCTTGTGAATGCCCTGGGCTTCTCCTTTGGATTATCTGGAAGTCCCTTTACAGGCTCTCTCTCTCCTTGACAGTCAGGGGCCTTGAGTACCCATCTGCAAATTGGACTCCTGGGGACCCTACACTGTGAACTCATAATATCTGACTCAACCCAAATATCAAAACCCTGATTAGCTCATCACTGCTGTAGAAGCTCTAGCAGCCCCCTCTTATGTGTGGATTCTTTTTCTGTAGCTTTGGTTACTCAACCACAATCCAAAAATATTACATGGAAAATTCTAGAAACAAATAACTAACAAGTTTAAGACTGTATACCCCCTCAAATAGCACAGTAAAAGCTTACCCTTTCTATGATACAAATCACCCATCTCTTTGTCCAATGTACCCACACTGGACACTCTATCAGCCCACCTGTCATTTAGCAGTCATATTGTCACCAGATAGACTGTCACAGTATCAGTGCTTAGTATGTGTAAGGTTTGGTACCATTTGAGAATTCAGAGAGCTACTGGGATCTGGAACCTTCCCTGAGAATAAGGAGGGCAGACCATTATTTGGCAGATGTGGACTCCATACAAGGCCCTGACACTCCCGAAGCTGTGCCTCAGAGCCTGTCCTGGTTGAGACATACACAGCTCCAGCTCAGTCTTTCTCTCCTGGACACACAAAATTAATGGCACAGACTCTGTGACAGGAGTCAGAGGCAAGGCCCATCCTGCTGGGTTGGATTAATTCCCAGGGTCAATGGCACAGCAGGATCTATTCTCAAATCCCCATAGGACACAAGGCAGCTGCATCACCATGGAGACAGGATACCATAAGCCCCACAGGTCATCTAAATTGTTTCAAAGAGATATTCACAACTTCTAACAATAAAGGAAATTGGATCTGGAGAAGAAAAATTTTATGACCAATCCCAGATGACTGGAAGAGAAGCCCATGCGTACACTCAGGGCAGCAGAGGATAGGGAAATAAGAAGCAGGAAGTAAGCTCCCAGGTGTGAGGTGGTTAAGTCCTAGGTTGCATTCTTTCTACCCACTTATGTAGAGTGTACAGCCTGTCATCAGTTCCCCAGTTTGCAAATGAAGAAACTGAGGCTAAATCAACTAAAAACCGAACCCACTATCTGAGATCACAGAGCTGGTGAGCAAAAGATCTGGGGTTTTATCTCTCAGGACTTGGGTGTTAATCCTAAATCTAACCCGAAATCGATCCCTAGACCTGGTAAAACAACTTTGGGATTTCAAGGAGCTAAACATGCCTTGAGGCATTATGGTAGAAGTGAAGAAATTGCTGCCAATCCTAGGAAATTTTATTCAGAAAACTTAATGGTGAAAAAGGAAAGGCAGAAGCGTAGCAGTAGGCGTGAACAAATTAGGTATGATGTGAAGTCAAGCCTATAGTTAAACTTTCCCTGAGATGGGGGAGAGTGGTCAGAGCAGCTGCTAGGGGAGTTACAATCCCAGAAGGCCAATTTCATCATTTTGCAGCTTAGTGTTACCTATGCCCTTGGAGTCCATTTCTAAACCGAAAAAAGCCAGCATGGTCTGGGGAATAGGAGGCAGGTGCCTAATGGTAATACCGGGCCTGCCCTCTGGCTCTAACCAGGACCCCTTTCTGAGTCAGTATGCAGAGCGTAAGTGGGACTAGAAATTCTCTAATGAACTAGAAGACGGAGAGGGCCTGGAAGGCACAGGATGAAAGGTGACAGCAGCTGCTGTGCCTGTTGTTTCCTTGTACCTCACCTGCTGAAAAGCCCAGCAGCTCCAACAGGAACTAGGCTCCAGCTCCGACTACACAGGCTCGGCCCCGCACCACCTACAAGAGGGAGCTGGGCTGGACTGCAGCCAAAGGCGCCCTTCCCACCAAACTCTCCTTCCCACTGCCCTCCACCCAAAGCCAGGAATTAAACAGCCAGAGAGAGGAAGGCGGCTCCGGGCCTCGGACACAGCCATTGGGTATCAGCTCTCTCCCTGGGCTGCGGCACACCCACACCAATGAATGGAGCCACCTCTGTGCTAGTCGCCGTCGGCTCCCGGGAGTCACAGCCACACCGCACAGTCCTAACTGCACCACAGGCGCGGACTAGGGGGTCTCTCTGCCTGCCTGCTTAACTCGAATCTCAACCTCTCGGGACAGAATGACAACTTTGAGGCGTCGGATTCAAGAGACCACCCAGTTACCAGCTCTTCAATTTCTGAGACTTTCTTGAGTTCGTTTTGATTTTTTTTTTTTTAACTTTCCCGCCTTCCCGCCCCCTGGATAGCCCCTCCGGTACCGCCTCCT